AAGAAAAAAGGAAAAAGATGAGCATTTATGTTATATTTTCTCAAATATAAAAAGGTAAAAACTAAAAAGTACGCAATCGTGTTCCACCGTTTCAACTTAATCATAGGATTTTAGCTGCTGTTACGTGGTAACAATTAAATTATNTAGCATTGGCAGTTCTTCTGCCAATGTATGCTCTTGGCGCTCTTGGCATGATGATAAATTAGCCACTTACCCGAAATTTAACTCATAAGAATAATCAAAAAGTAAGCTAAAATTATGCTCGTAAATGGCGTACACGTAATTCACGAAAAATAATAACTCAAATCAACAAACATGCCCGATTAACCAATAGCAACTATTATTATTTTAATCTGCAACAACAACAACTTTTTATTATTTAGTTTATTTTTTTCTATACAGATTGCGCCACTGTTGTATTTTTTACATCCATATTTCCTACTTTCTGGTGGATTTTTCTAAACAAAAGTGGTCCTATAACCTCCAGCAGACTGTCAAGTATAACAGTAAAAAAATTCAGCCAAATCGGTTTGGTAGTTTTCTCGGTTAGCGCGGTCTAAGAAAACCCTTACCATTTTATATAATAGTATAGATAGATAGATAGATAGATAGATAGGTAACATAAATTATTTTTATTAATTTTCTATTTCAGCTTAAGAATTGTATGGGGGCTCGGACTTCAATAAAAAATTATGTTTTTTCTAGACTCCTTAAAAGGACGCCTCATCAGTGTGTGTTGTCTCCAACTTACAAACGTACGACATAGCAAAAACTGTTTTGCGCGAAATCGAACCACTGAAGTTGTAGTCCAAGCACTCCAAGCTAAGCCACCAAATTTTCACACTTTTATCAATAAGAACTTTTCAAGTATTTGTGATATCAAAAAAATAAAAACGATGAGGCACAGTAGATGTTCTCCTCTTAATATTATGAAAATTTGATTGCTTAGCTTGGACTACAGCTTGGGTGGTTCTATTTCGAGCAAAACAGTTAAGTATGTCGTACATCTGTAACTTGTAAGACTGAGACAACACATGCGGGTGTAGCGTCCTTTTAACACTCCTATTAAACTATTAAACCAATATTAACCCAAATAAATAATGACGGTTATAAGCACACAAACATTTTATTGTGATATTACAGAATGGATAAAAGATGACACGCGCATCTATGATATTTGCATAGTTTATACTTTATAATACTATACGTAATATTATAATTATAAAAATATGAAAACTGTAATGGCGTTCCACACCATTACACTGCCTTACACCCAAATTAACTGGAACTCCTAACAATCTTAAAACTCCTTACAAAATCACACATCCGAAACCCGTGTAACACAAATGATAATCAAAACAAGCGAATTCACAAAAATCCAAATAAAACATTCTTCGAAAGTTCGAAACCCGAACACTTGTTTTTTTTCAATCTTCATGTGAACATTACGGTAATGAGTCACTCATTAGTCATTACCATCATCATTTTAAAAGTGTTTCTTGTAGTTCGATTTTGTAGTTGGTTGCTTAATAATAACAACAATACTATAAACATGACAAATTATATGATCAAATTAAAGAGAATTCAATACGATTTTACTTGTAACCCTATCATTAATCATTAATTGGTTTTGATTAATCCAAATTGCCAATGTAAAATTATTTCTTAAAATATTGTATACCTACCTGATAATTTACTGCTCGCATTATCACAAGCAAGTATAAATATAACCAAAAGCAATATAAAATATAGACCATAGACGTGTTCACAACAAAACTGAATACCTAACGTACGTAAGAACAGTTGCAACTTACCTATGAGTAATAACTAATAGGAATAATTAATAGGTACCAAGTACCTAGCATTATTTGCCAAACAACTTCTCTAGCAGTATTATAATAATTTAATAACGAATATCGCATTTCGTATATATTGCCTATATTTACTAGTTTTCTGAAAATCGCAAAACATAGTATTTTAAATTGTTCATGGGTACTTAATCAATAAATGGTTTCCTAGATCAGCGTTTCTTAAACTTTTTTATCCGTGGAACCCTTTTTTATGTGCACTTTCACCGTGGACCCCCAACTTTTTTTAGCTGTTTTTTATTGAGCTCTTAACAATAAATTATTACAGCTCGACAATTAGAACCACTACATTGTTTCAATACTTTCAATGCGTCATTTTATGTAAGGAATGTTTGCAATAAAAGTTATAATTATGTGCCAAAATTTAAAATTTTGAATAAAAACCACAAGTTTCGGGGAACCCTGAAGTGACCCCCGCGGAACCCTGGGGTTCCACGGAACACAGTTTAAGAAACGCTGACCTAGATAAATGTAACTATTTTACATTTTACATTTAAACCAAGTTTGGTCTAAAACCAATTTTTAAATTTGTAATAGGAATTTCTATTTTATTATAAACTAGCTGATCCCGTGTACTTCGTTACCCGTTAAATGTACCAAATATAAACGACACAAACTTATATATATAATATATAATATGATAAATACAATGTATGTATAAATAATTATATTAATTTTTCTTGCTTTATATAAATAAAAAATTAAATAAAAATAAAAATAAATTAATTATAGAAGATCCTCAAATTGTTGTGAAACAACTTTACCATCAGCGCAGCAAAATCCATTGGTTTCATCTTTCCATTTTTTTGCATGGCACTTAGGACATAATATCGTAATTGGTCCTATTTGAATTTTGAAGCGCTTTAATATTTAAATAATCAGTATGTCGTACATCTGTAACTTGTAAGACTGAGACAACACATGCGGGTGTAGCGTCCTTTTAACACTCCTATTAAACTATTAACCAATATTAACCCAAATAAGTAATGACGGTTATAAGCACACAAACATTTTATTTGAATTTTTTAATCCGGTGTTTTAACTTAGTATTTGAATTCGTTGAGACGTATAATTCACTTTCAGTTTTCAGAAAAAATACTGAAGTTGGGAATCGATGAATTATTTTGGCTATTTATCGTATGTACAGTGTATATTGTATACATGCTCAAAAAATAAAAAATACAAATCATTGTAAAATAAATAGGTAAAATATAATTATTTATAACAAAGTAATTTAATTTTCTGAAATCTAGGTAGTGTTAGTGAGTAGGTTTTGTTTGAGTTACAAATTCTAATTAAACAAATAATAAAATTACGAATGAGTTACTTCCTATAACTAAAAATAATTATAAAAAAAATGTAATTCTTCAATAATTTACTATAATACTAGTATAAGATATCTTACCTGATTTTTGATGTTTCCGTGTTTCTATTGTATTACGACATGAATTCAAACCTGAGCTCGAACTGTGAAAGAACACTAACGACACTAAGAATACTGCTGCAGTGATATTTATATAATTTATGATTAAATAATTCGTGCGGCGGTAGTGAATAGTATTGTATGATATTAAATATTTACCCTATTACATTAATCATCTTATATTGTAATAGGTATCATTTAAAATGATTCAATATTGTACAACAACGTATATTATTTAAGGACTATGGCAAGATATAAATAACAGTTTTCGACACATTTTGGGTGTCCATGATCGATGTGAATAATATAGTTTTGTAAAGGTCCGCAGGCAAATGAAAAAAATATGATTGAAGACGCAAAGCGATCAGGGCTTGTGAGCGACATATTCTAAATAATAACTAGCTTAGTCGCAAATGTTGATAGTTTACTGATGAATGTGGACAATAACGTGTGTGAACAATTCAATAGTGTAATTAATAAACATTTAGCGGGTAAACGAATAAATTATTCACAAAGAAATTTGTATAATGCTCGAGTTGAAGCTGCGGTTATATCATCCAACTCGGGTGGACAATTTCTTCGTTTGATGCATAAAAATATACCTAGTCAATGAAATAAGTCCAGGTGAATACTGAATACTATACATTTATTTTTATTCTAAACAATTTGATGTACCTACTTAATATAATGATCATGATATTATTAATTATACTTATTATTAGGTAGGTATAATATATAGTTATTATTTTATTTGTACAAAACATTTATACAAAATTAACATGTTTTTTCTATAGGAGAAATAGGAAAAAAATTTCTAAGATCTAGTGAAAAGAAAAGATACCAGCCAAAATCTAAAAAACTTCTTTTCTCTAGAAATTCAGAAAAAATATTTAATACTGGCCCGGATCAACATTATGGTTTAGCTGAACCATTGCCGGAAGATAATATTTTAAAAGAAGTATTAGAAAAAACTAAAGAAAATTTTATTAATGCATTACAGCTGAATAGACATGAACGGTTAGCCGTTGAAGAACAAACAAGGGAACAGGCAAACTCTCAAATTTGGCACGTTGAACGTAGAAATCGGCTCACCGCGTCAAATTTTGACTGCGTTTGTAAACTTCGGCCAATTACATCGTGCAAAAATACGGTTTATAGTAAAATGTGTAGGATATTTTCTTCAAAAGCAACAGATTATGGTAAAGCCATTGAACCACAAGCTATCGTCGCATTGGAAATAAAATAAAATTGTAAAGTGAATCAATGTGGACTTATTATTGATGAACATTTTCCTTATTTAGCAGCTTCTCCAGGTAAAATATACGTTTAATGCCTATAGTACATAATTATAAATATTAATTGAATCGACATTGCTAATTTCGTTTTTTTATAATTTATAGACGGTCTTGCATCTCAATGATGATTTTATTGTTGAAATTAAATGCCCATGCATTTGGAGTAAAAGACGCTAAGACATTTTTGGAAGCTATAAACAGTAAAAAAGCAAGTGAATTATTATGTACACAAAAAACGATTCTCTGAAAAAATTTAATTTGATATACTTTAAAAGTTTCAAGTACCCCCAGTAAAATTTATAAATTAAAAAAAATAAATAAATCAAATTATTATTATCCGTTTCAATAATTGATTTTGGGTAAGGAGTACAGTTTTTTCTTAATTTTTGTTTTTGTTTTTTCTAAAGCTTTTGAAATCTACCGGGAATTTTTAAATTTTACCTCTTCAATGCGTTTGGTAGATTCACTTTTCTACTAGAGTAGTTACTATAGTGGAAGATCAAAGAATTATTACAATTACTTATAGTGTACTCAATTAAAAAATAAATGAAATATCAATACATTAGTCGCATTTGTATCTGAAATATAAAATGTTCTCATTATAATATTTAATTTCAGTTATCCTTCTGTCGTCTCAGTGAAAATGGGAAAATGGAATTAAAAGTGAACCATAGTTACTATTATCAAGTTCAAGGACACATGCAAATTTCAAAACGAAATTTCTGTTATTTTGTCGTTTATTTGGCGAATTGGATGGAAATACAAATAATTAGATTCAATGATTCTTTTTGGCACGAAAAAATGATTGAAAAGTTAAAAGTGTAATTGAAATTTATTTTTTAAATGTATAGTAATTAAATTTTTGTATTATTATAAAATTATATACACATGTACAATTTTATTTTCAGTTTTTACACAGAATGCTTACTTCCAGAAATAGTAAATCCCCAGTATGGAAAGAGGCTGTTGAGTGTTGGTAGATGCCATTTTAGATCTTCAACATATTTTGGAAAATATAAAATCAAAAACCTGCACAAAGACTGCAAAAACAAAATCATAGAAATGAAAAAAAAAAATTAAAACTTTCTATAAATGTCGATTAAAATTAGTATACATTGATAGGCCGTGCCTAATTTATATAATATGTAATTTAGTAATTATGATAATTACCTACTATAAAATATTATCATATATCAATAAAAAAATAAATAATCTGTTATATATCTACTTCCTAATTAAAAATAAATACTATTATTTGAATTATTAAAAGTTATCGAATTACGTATTTACGTTGTACATTGATTACGCTGGTCGCTTTATTCAACGGATTTTAATTTATTCGTATGTACCTAAGGTTTTATTGTCATACTCATACAAATTTAAATTTCATACGGGTTGGTCAACGCTAAAAAAAAATTTATCCTCCAATTCTCTACAAGTTTAAATAATAATTATTCAAATAGTAGTTTTTTTAAACGATTTATTACAATTGTATGATGAGATTTTTAATTTGTGTACAATACGGTGAGCAGAATAATAAATAATAATATTATACGAAATATGCAACATAAAATTCGATACGGGTATTATGAAAATAATTAAACAAATATTCCATCATCAACATTATTGTGTGTTTTCGTACCGACTATTTATAAACGGCGACTGGCGAGTCGCGATATGAAAACTAATTTTGATCTATGGTGAGGTATGGTTAAGATCGAGCGCGGGGTGATGGTATGAACACTGTTCAGAACGTTGCCGCTATAATCCGCAGAGCAGCACATGACGGCTGTAAATTTGTAATTTTTCTTACCAAAACGTCCAAAACATGTTTTTGTACTTCCATTTTCCTCAGCTCTCGCTAGTCGTAGAAACATGATTTTTTCACCAACATAAACTCGAGAAGTTCCTCTAGATGACTGCGTGCCAGATTTTTGATATCTTTTATTGTCTGTTTTATATATCTTTTTAAAAATTGAACAATTTTCTTAAATTTCAAATGCAAATATAATAGGTTTGAAAAAAAAATTCGAAAATCTGGCATGCAGTCATCTAGAAGAACTTCTCACGTTTATTTTGGTGAAAAAACCATGTTTCTACGAGTAACGAGACCTGAGAAAAATGGGAAGTACGAAAGCATGTTTTTACGGTCGAATTTTGCTAACAGAACGGGCGACGATTTGTTCAGCTCCAAAAGCTGATGACCGACATAAAAAAAAACTTCCTAGTAAAACCAATACAATACATTTATTGATTTATTGCATAATTTAGAATTAAAACGTTGTCACTAGCTAAACTCGTCTAGTGAGCATTGTTATATTGAATAACATTTATATGATGTCTTGGCTATGATGTCTCGTTAAAGGGGGAGTGTATTTTTTTGTAATTTTTTTAATCCATTAAGGTTTTGTAAATTTATATAGACATATTATTGTGCCATAAATTGTATAAAAAGCATATATATTTGAATTATTATCATACATTTCTGTTAAAAGCAATTATAATAGCTCAAAAATGGAATATTGTTTCACATCAATTAGTCGGGAAATAATATTAATATAATTAGAAAAATATTTAACGTCAACTTTGAACCAAGTACCTATAGGCTATAGTTAAAGCAGATTTTGAACTTAACTGCGTAACATAACTAACTAGATTCTTTTAATATAACAGTATGTAGGTAAAATATTATTTTTTTTTAGAATAAGAAAAAAATATACCTTTATATATATTACATACTTATAATCTATCTTCTGATAAAAAACACTAACTACCTTGTCCATTCCAGGTAATCCACCTAGACTGCTTAAGCGAAGATGCTGTCTTAAAATTAAAATTAGCTTAACTTAAAATTTAAGTACACAAAATAGGTAGTGTCACCAATGGGTGGCTTCTTCCCTCAAAAAATTCATATGTAAATACTATATGCACATTTGCTTATTGTTCTAGTTAAGAACAGATTGTAAATTTCCTGTAAAAAAAAAAAAAAATATAATAACCTATCTTGGGTTAATTTTTTTTTTTTTGTGAAAACTTCAATTCGTTTATTTAACATTGGTTTTCTAGAGATCTAAGACTAAGCGATAGTAAGATATAATAGATGAATGTAGTATAACGAAATATTGAAACAAATGCAGCCAAAGCAGCAAGTGCTAAGTTACCCAAGTGATTTTATTTTAAAATGTGTTTTTGTATGCTTAATAATATGGTGCTTTCAAAAAGTCAGGAAAATTTGCTTTGAAAGGTATGGTTAAATATAACTCGAAAACTCAAAATACCTGGTTTATAAGTTTAAAATACCAAACATTTTTATCTGATCCTCAAAATGTTGGTGGAATCAGAAATTGCCTATCTCATATTTGTACTTACTTTTTAAAATTTTTTTAATAAATTAAAGCAAAACCCCCGATGGGTAGCCGGGCTTATAAAATAAAGTGATAGTATAGATGATATAATTAAAATATAAATAAAACTGCATTATGTCAAATCATAATATAACGTTTAATTTTAGATTCTGAACGGAAGCTATGATTTTTTTGTTTTGAAATAGAGTGTGTTTTTTGTCCGCAGCCACTTTTTATAGTACTGATTGAGAGGTTTTTGGTACCAAATTAGATCTAGACACCTAGTTTGTACTTATAGGCGGGGTGGAACGTGGAAGAGGTCCCCAGTATTTTTCAAATTCAACAGTGAACAAAAATATAAATAGGTACATTACAAATGGAAACATTTATTCTAAACTAGTTTTAGTTGAGAGCCTAATTCAAAAATAAATACACCTAACCCTAGAGACTCAAATTATCAAATTTATTAGTTTTTATTCAACTTATGTATGAAAAATAAAAATATTTCTACTATGTTGTCTGTGAGTAAAAATGTCTGATAATTTAATACAAGGTGATTTCTCATGTTTTTCTTACAGAAATGAAAAAATATCGAAAATACATGATCACAATTAATTTTTTACAGCTGTTTGAATTTCAAATTCTGACAAAATAGTGAAATATTTTAGTTTATATTATATAGAGCAAGATGGCAGACTGTATCCCTCAGAATTGTTTTCAATCACATAACTACCAATATACCATAAGTTATTAATGAATTAATATTTTAGTATTTTTAACCTTAGGTTAGGTTTTGATGATGAAATACGTCTCTCTCCACTACAGAGTCAAAGATCGAATCATCCGTCTACAAACCATGACTAGTTTTTCAGAAGACCAAATTGATTTGATCAAAATGTCAAACGATTTTTATCCAGCTGTGGGCTGTGGCTGACATAATCAAGGTCGGAGCAACTCTTCCAACAACTTGCAGTATTGAACGTTCATTTAGTACTTTAAGCATTGTCAAGACCTGGAACAGAGCCAGTATGGGTGACGACCGATTGTCCGGATTGTATATGATAAATGTACATAGAAAGAGACTAGAAGAGGATACCAAATTCATTGAAAATTCAATAGAAGAATTTGGAAAAAACCCAGGCGTTTACAGTTATTATTTAAGAAATAAGTGTTATAATTTATAGAAGATAATTAATAATTATGTAAAAAAGTATTATAATAGATAGTTGTCCAAAATAAAATATTTTTAATATAGATTTTTTTTTTTTAAAGCTGTGAAATTGCAAAATTAAAGTGAAATTGCACCCCCTTAACTCCAACTCCAACTATTGATGCGTAAGTCCTGGTTTTGCTGTCTCATATTCTATGTTGCTCTAGCGTGGACCCGACTTTATGATCGTTTGAAAGAAATCGTAATTTCATTCTAATATGTTTTATCAAAAGTCAATACTCATGTTGGAACAATTAGGAATAATTTGAAAACAATTTTTAAAAAATTAATTTTTATTTTTTTAACCAACTACCAAATATTGGTAAAAAAATCTATAATTAGGTATTCGTTTAGTGTAGGTCTTATACATATACGAAATATACATAACATTTCATAAAAATAGAACAAATTAGTTTTAATATTTAAATTCAATAAATCCGGTTCCGGCAAATTTTTTTTGTCTGCTTTCTCTCCCACCATGATGCACCAAATATGTCGTTACAAGATTTGCAACAATTCTTAGTGATAAAATATTATATTTCTCGAAGTGTGTGTTACCAAGTTGCTTCTAATTAATTAATTATACCACTAATGATTCGGTTTGTTTATGAAACTATACAAATTAACTATACAACATTTCATTACAGCAATATAGAAGTAAAATTATGAAAATTTAAAAAAACAATGAATTCATAATGCGATATTATGATTTTTAAAATAATTTATAATTTAAAGGCAACAAAAACATCAAACAATACTTGTTTCTAAAATTAGGCAAAAAAAATAAATAAAATCAATAACTTATAAAGTAAATTAATTACTTACAAATGATTAGTCATCAATGTAAAATACTTGAATACAAAATTTAAAGAATTATGATACATACAATAATTCTAAACAACCATTCGGAGTTCTTTGGCAGTTTTGAACCCCCCTCCCAAACAAAAAAAATATATGTGTAGTTAAAAATAAAGCTTTTAAAATAATTTCTGTACAATAAAACTTCATCTAATTTAAGAGAATATTCAACTACTAAAAAGAAAACAATTCATATTAAAATTCACACGATTCAAAAATAAGTCCATAACAGGGAAATATTGGACAATATATTTTCGTCGCAAATTACATCATAATCATTGTTATTTACAACAGTAATATCATTTATTATACCATATAAATACAGTCATATAGCCTTGTCCACAATACAATTTAATCATACCAACAAAAGGTAATTAATATTTATTTTTGGAAGTCTGCTACTACTCATGTAATCAGTTTTAAACAAATAAATAAAAGTTAGACTTTTTATGTAAATATATATATATAAATTTATGCGTATGAATAAATTATATGATAAATAAACTAAGTAATAAGTTCTTGTAGTTTTTTCACAGTAGTTTCATTCAAAGCACAGAGGTCGAAATCAAAAGTTTTTGTAGTTATTTCATAATGCCCAGTTTCGGCTATTACAGTGACTACCCTTTGAAGGTCTTCATCTTCTAGCATCATTATTTTGTGTTGAAGATGTTTTAATGAGTTAATATATTCATCAGTGAACTTGTTGTTACTGTGTGACGGTGATGGTGATCTAGAAATGTCTGAACACGTTTCTCGTACATGTTCCGCAATTTCCAGTCTGCTGGTTTTTGGTTTTGTTTCTTCCGTGTCACGTTCCTTCTTTTTTCGTTTTTTCTTTTTTATAAAATTATTTTCTGGAGAAAGCTTCTTTTTGGGTGGTTCTGGTTCTTTAGGCTTTGGAGGTTCTGGTGGTTGATAAGGTGGTTCACTGTCCTCAGAGAGAAATTCTTCTTCAGACTCGAGTTCAGGTTCATGAACTCTTGAAGAATTAGCTTTTGGAGGAGGTAAACACTCTAATACTTCTTCCTTAACTTTTGGAAACTCTTCTATTAATGTAACTGTTTGAGGTACATCTAGGTGTTTATATGAAGATTCTTGTTCGACAAAACTAGATTTTTCTTCTTTTTTAATTAATTTTTCTTCTTTATCTCTCTTGTCTCTTTTCTTATGCTCCTTGTGACTTTTATGAGGTTTAGATGATTTTTCAGATTTTTCTATTTTTTTATCAGACTTTATTTTTATTGATTCTGGAGAACTTTTATGTTTCTTTTTTTCTTGATCATTAAGTTCAGTTTTTATTTCTTGTTTAATAATTTTAGTTTCATGATATGATTTTTCATCTTTATGGGACTTATCTTTATTTTTCTCCTTTACTTTATCTTCTCGTTTGCTTTTGTCCTTAAATTCTTTTTTTTCCAATTTTGTGTCATTGGACTTTTCTTTAATTTTTTCATGATGAGTAGATTCTTTCTTTTCAGGTTTAGAACTACTTTGTTTGAGAGACTTTGATTTTTCAGAACTTTCTTTAGTTTTTTCTTTTTCTTTTTTATCTTTATCTTTATCTTTTTTCACCTTGTCTATAGATAATTCTTTCAACTTCTTCTTCTCTTTATCTCTTTCTTTGTCTTTATCTTTCTTATCCTCTTTATGATGTGGGCTACTTTTAATTTTAACTTGCGATTTGTCTGAGGAAGATAACTTTTGTGATGTTGATTTTGATGTAGTCAGTGGTAACTTTGAAGGCTGTATTGGAGACCCAAAAAGTGTGGCAAATGTATTATTTAATTTTGTATCTTCTTTTTTATTTTTTTTTGGTGGTGGTGATGGCAATCGATTGGTATTTGTAATTGATTTTTGTTTTGATATGGCAGAACTTGAAGTGGAGTTTTTTGCTTCAGTTCCATCATGAGATAAGACACTAGTCTAAAACATTAATGTATAATATATTTATTTATTTGATAAAAAGGGAATGTTTTTTTTTTTTAAATAAGATACAAAGATATTTTCTCTGCTGCAAGGAAAAACATAGAATCATATTTATGTTATTTGTAATCAATGTAACTGGCTATGCCAAATTATAAAGAAAATAATTGATATAACTCAATACTAATTATGTATACAGTCAACTCTCCATAATCTGAAATTGGCAGGACTTATGAACAATTTTGGATTACCGAATTTGAATTCTTGAGTGGGTTGATAAATCAAGAGCGCATAAACCAATTCAAATTACTGAGTTATGAAAAAAAAATACCTATGATAATAATTTGATAGCTATCAGAAATGATTAACTAAATTTATAAACAAATGTAGGGTAAAATATTAACCCTAACATTAAATACATTTTGGTGAACACATTTTTGGCTGTATTCTCGTGTGTTGATGGTTAGTTTTCCCTAAAATGTTACTACAAATTACCGAGTATACTAAAATGCATTAATTTTATTCAAATTACTGCAAGATTTGTAAGGGGACAAGCAATTACTTTGAAATATCAAGAGTCGACTATAGTATTGTGTAGTTGACATGTGCCATAGAAACGTAATATATACCTTATCGAGAAAATTATGGTGATAAAACTATAAAAGTGAGATGTAAATATAAAGCATTGCCCTGAAATTAATACATTTATTTTTTAATTTTTCATTCCTAATAAGCTCTCTAAGTAACACCTGTGATTCTCAATTTACTCCTCAAAGTCGTTAACTACAGGATGTTATTCCACTGAGATTTAATAATTTAAATGGTTTGAAACATTATAAGCTCATTAACTTAATCATTACATTTTTAATGTTGAATATTAATTTTTAAACATGATAAGTAAAAATACTTTTAGTATTACCTACTACAATTATATGTTAACATTAGAATAGATTAAGATCCAAAGATTTTACAAAAGATTCACTTTACAGATGAAAGCATATTGGATATACAAATACAAATATAAAATGAATATCCACGGATCTATAATAATTTTATATAAACATAGATAGCAATATATTTTATAGATAATTAAATATTAAATATTTATGGCAATATATTTTATAGATAATTAAATATTTATGGCAAACATATTGCAGTTAGTAGATAAATTGAAGGTAGGTGTAAAAAAGTTTACTTACTCCTCCGCCTTTGATAAGTTTTCGTCTGAAATCTTCTGAAGGGCTAAATACATAGGTTTCTCTATTGACTCTAGACATAGGCGGCGAACCACGTTCTTGAAGTACCAACTCATAGTTAAACCTAATTTTTCTTGGTTCATCTTTATTTTTTACATAGATGTCAATAGGTAACGGAAAACCAGCATATCCTGATTCTTTCACGACATATGGTGGTTCTTTAACCACTGAAAACAAATATTAAACAACAATTTTCTGAGATTCATTTAAAACTAAAATAAACATATAGTAATAATATCTACCACAAAAGGGTACAATATATTGAATTAGGAAATTATATATATTTTATAATTTCAAGAACACATGAATAATTTATTATTTGAGTAGAGGTACACTTCTCGTATATATCTTTGGAAGATACCTTAGTTAAATTATATATGATGTATTAAAACTTTATTATCAAAATGAATTAATACAAATTATGTTTTACTTTATGATTTTATTAAAAAAGCAGTTCTAAAAGTACCTTCTTTTCAAAACAATTTTGATAAATGGTTTATTTGATATTGCAGTAGATTTTTAATAGGTCAAACATTGATATTTCAAATTTTCTGTTTTTATATAGTTTTTACATAGTGAGTTTCGTGTATTATAATTTATAACAGTACTAGTAGTGTTGCAGTTATTAAATATTTATTTTCTTATTTAAATGTTTTAAAAGTACAATTTTAAGCATTGTAAATGTACAATATCCAAAATATTTAAATGGTGTTTAATTATATTTTAATAGCTTATCAATATTTTTATTTGATTATGTAGAAATGTAAGAATGTTTACTATATTATTATTATACAGGGTGTCTCGCGAAGATATTCCCACTGCAATATCTCCTGAAATAATGGATACATCATGATTCTGGTTTTTTAATAGGACTCACAGGTCCAAGAACTACAAATATTTCATGTTTTAATTTATTTTAATGTTTAGGTAAAAAAGCAAAAGTTAAAAAATATATTTTTTTATTTAATTATTTTAAAAAAATTTAAGATATTTTGTAGTGTTCATTATTCTGAAAATATTGACATTTTATTTTTAATATTTTTTCAAGTTTTGAGAGAAATAGAGGACCCCACTGAAAATATTCACCAAAAATAGAAGCATGCTTCATATGTTTGATGCCACTATGGTTGAACATGAAATATAGTTCTTGTCCCGTGAGTCTTATTAAAAAAACACAATTATGAAATCTTCGTTATTTTAGGAGATATCGCAATAGGTAAATCCTCACAGGACACCCTCTATACAGGCAAACTGCTATTTATTTGAAGAATAACTTTGATTAGTATGCTATTAGAATTTATTTGACATTTTATTTATCAATCAGTATAATAATAGCAACAATTATTTTCCTTTGTCTTATAATTTTTCATACTGTAACATAGTTTGAATACTTTAGTTATTTATAATACTGTTTGATTTAGCTTCTAATATAAAATGTAGAAAGGTACTTGTGAAATAACATTGTATATTTTATTGGAAACACTAACTGTTCATTTAATAAGAACATGAATAGATAATTATTTAAAGTAGATATCATTTCACATGAACATTTTTAAAAATTATTTTTTAACTATAAACTTGTGGAAAAATACTTCAATATTAAGTTGTTCAACAATAAAATTTAAAAAGAGAAATAATATAAAATCATGCAATAGTCTATTTAAGACTAGGATATACATTTAAGAAGATACCACTTACCTCTTTTCGGATTTGGAAATGTGTCATGTAAATGGAACACAACCTTGTCGACAAAGAAATGTATGTCGGTGTTGTCAGCACCACGAACAAACAATTCCCAGTCATGAGTGAACCCTTCAGGTGTTCGTTTGTTTCTAACAGACGCCTCATGACCAATTTCAAATATCACTTTAACGTACTGTGAAAAAAAAATATTTATATAATAAAGATGAAGTATGCAATCTATACATTTAACACTAGCACCAATTCAACATAAAATCAGTCGTTTTCTCTGTTTACTAGTGATCGTGTAGTATCGGGTCATCGGTATAGTGCACACGGTTATAATGATGACAAACAATGCATATACTACTGAAGAGTGCAAAAAAATTGGCTACCTGATATTGAGCTAATTACTCAACTGCGGGCAGGGAGTGGAAACTCAACGAAGTGTAGAGGTTGCAAAGGAATACTTACTGGAAATGCCATCATAGACTCATCATCTGGAATCATCTGGAATCATTGTAACCGTACCAGCGGGTGGTTATTTGAAAAACTCCAGTTACGGTTGGTGCTCGAGGAGAACCACTTTAATCCGGTTGGCAGTGGCAGACGTTGGTTGGTCTTCCGTAAAAACAATATTACTGGAGAGTATAATTATAATTTTTTTTCGCTCCAGATCAGATCGAATTATTGAAAATCAAAACGACAGACGAGCGCGTATAAGATAACAGACGTCGTAATATTATATTATTATCTACTTTCCAAATAAAAACACTCTTTCTGCACGCACGTAAATAAATCTGAAACGAAAACAACAAACAGCTGATCATCCAGGGTGGCCACAACTCGCACAATTACCCGGGAAACGGCCGTCGCCCGTCACGGTCATAATAGCATTAATTATGGCTTATATACTATTATTCATGGCTTAAATATACAAGCCATGCTATTATTTAAGTGTCCTAATAATAAAAATAATATGTTTTTCAAAAATTAAATCTATAGTATATAATAGAAATAAGGAACATTTATAGTATGGTAGTATAAATTACAGGGCGAATTCCGCTTGTAAGGTGTAAAATAAACCTTTTAACAGTCTTTAAAGGTAAAGCTTTTGTAGTTTCGTAGCTTTAGAATTCGTTGTGTCGTTAGTCGTTACAACTGCTAATGTTTATGTTTACTGTTCAGTGTTCTATATTTTTGAGCCCAGTGGTATTGTCTTATCGATAATCCACACGACGAGTTGTAGTAAATCGTCTACGATCAAGAATCAGTGCCCGTGAAAAAGCCGGTGGCCTTCCTTGACGGTTCATAACCGTGGTATGAATGAGATAACACTATACCATTTTTACCACGGTTTTAAATTATAGGTTGTTTTGTTGTTTAGGTTTAAACTTTAGGTTAGACTTAAAATCTTTCAAGACTTTGACTATTTATTATTTATAATACTAATATCGATATTCGCTTTCGCTGGGTGCTGGCTACTGAGTAGTGATATCTGAATCTGAACAAGGTAAACTATAATATTTAATGATAAAAATTCAATTAATTACCTACAAGAAAAATTTTTTTCATTTGTAACTGTAGTAAGTAATAAGTAACTACTACCTATAAAGTGCTAAACCCGTCTAGGTCTCGTAAAAACTAAAGTCATAAACACACTACTCGATCCATGACTAAATAATAAGGCATGAACGCTAAACTACTGCACGCATGTTTGGTTCTTTCGATAATGGCCTCTTTATTTAGTCATTAGACATTAATCTTATACTCTTAAATCTTAATCACGAACATCATATAATAATATTAATAGTCTCAATAGAATTATTAAGTTTCGTTGTAAATCACGATACCGGATATTGTAATAACTAATAACTTACGTCTTATAATAAGTTACTGGGTTATTATTAATTTTATTGTATACAATTCTGATTACAACCTCTGTAATTACTAAATTTCTGACGCGATTAGTTTAGTAACTTTAATGACTATCAACAGTTTATAGTACATATTACTGCTGTCATACCACTGTTCGTAGCATAAAATTAAAATACTACAACTAAAATTAACACATTTAGTATTGATTTGTTGTGTGTCTAGTATTAAGGAAAGTGTCTGTACGTCGTGCGTCAACTATCGTTTGTACTGTGCAACTATTTTTACATCGCAGCTAATCTTAGTTAACGCTGTCGTATTGACACCTCTCATATACATGATCAATTTGCTGACACTTTGGTGCTCTGCGATTGCTTGTTTCCAATTCACTACTGCCAATCTGTGAGATACTTTTGGTAGTCTTCTATCCATCCCGTCCATTGATGATGTCTGAAACCAGCAGCTCTAGTTCCAAAGAGGAAAATCTAAATGATAAATCTATGTCAATTACACATGCAAGTGATGATCAGGTAACTGAAACACTCAAACAAACGTCTATTATTTTCATATTTATAAAAAAAGATCTAAAGATTTGTAGTAACACAGGTATCTGCTTTATCTATCTCTACTAGCCTTCTGCTAATGTATATATCAACTAATATTTTGATGTCTCAATATTTATTTAGTAGTGTATGCCTATTGTTAATATTATATTGATTGTTTTATTTAGACTACAATTTTAACTGAAAATGTAACAGTGAAACTTGAATATCAAAATACTGAATCAACTTCTGAGGTTCAATCCATAACATATGGTAAATTTAAACTTGCTTAAATTAATTTTTTCTCATGACATTTACCAATATTTTAGAGTTAGATGAAGATGAATTGAATATTGACGATGATTTACCAGAAGGATGGATAAAATGTAATCATGACAGTGGTATGCCAGTTTATTTAAATGAAGAAATGAAAGTTTGTTCATTTTCAAAACCTTATTTTCTTGGAGTCAATAGCCTCAAGGTAACAATCAAAATATAAACTAATATCATTTTTTTTTTATAAATAAATTTAATGCATTCTTTATTTTTATAGAACCATAATATTCCAGTAGCAAATATTCCCTGTTTGGATTATAAACTAAGATTACAAAAAAAGAATGCTGAGAGTAATGAAGAGTTGAATGGTAATACTTGTATTAAATATCTATTAAACTACTGTGTCTTACATAATCTATGTGATTTTTTAAAATTATTTTACAGAATGTCCTGTAACATTGAGCCATGAACAATATCGAGAATATTGTAGTAAAATATTCAAATTTAAAAATATTAAATTCATGAGATTTAGGTAGGGAAATTTTTTTATTTATACTTATGGAATGTTAGTGTAAATTATTTTTCTTGTTTAGTTCTTGGGATAAACGCCGTGAATATATTAGAATGGTAAAAGCTGATCGAAGAATTAAAGATCTTCCAAAATTAAAAGATAAGTCTCATTTAATGTCGTTTCCAGTTCAAGAACCAGATGGTGAGAAAAACAAAATAATTATTTTTAGTATTTATAATAAATGTTATAACTAAATATATAAAGAGTATTAATAGTGTTTACAGAATTTTTGAGTAATTTGGCGTATCTGCGTCCTGCACTCAAAACATTTTTAGATTCTGTCTATATTCACTATGGTGTTATTATTTTTATTCTATTAACTGTAATGTATGATTAATCATTCATGGCACAATAATGAAAAAAAATATTTGATATTTTAACACTCACATTTTATATCCTGTATAACAGTGTTTCTCAACCTTTTTTAAGTTACCGCCCCCTTGAGTGTCAAAAAATTTTTTAACGGCCCCTACAATGTGAGAATTCTATAATAAGGGTTAGGTTAAGGGTATTTGGAAAATTTAAAAGAAAAAATTGAAATTATCTAATAACTCATGTTTTTATTTATTTTTTATATTTGATATATTTTTTATTTATAGTTCTAGTATTATGGTAATCTACCACCCAAAATTAGTTCACCGCCCCCCTACCACCCAAAACTAGTTCATTGCCCCTCGGTGACATTTTACCGCCCACTGGGGGGCGATATTGCCCCCGTTGAGAACCACTGCTGTATAATATATTGTATAAATAAATGTGACATATGCCTAAAAATAAAATAATAAGACATTTTTATATTAATTGATGTTCTTTAGAACATCAAATAATATTTAAAGTAGTAAATATCTATTTAACTATAGATTTTTCTTTGTTTTTGACATTAATTATTTCATGTACAATTGATTATGCACAAGCCGTACTGTGTTAAAATACTGACCTTGCTGTAAATTAGATAATTAATTGCAAAAGTGCAATGTGCGGTAAGGAGATTATTGGGGTTAATTCTCCTTGATCCAAGTTTCTAAACATTTTTACTTTGATAATAGTTTTCAATTGTTATACATAAAATGATTTTTAATCAAACAAAATTCTATCCTTGCAACTTTTATGAAAAATCTAAGATAGACCACTGATATTCAGACTGCTTTAACAAGTATACAAGTGTCAATTCTTACTCTATGGTGTCAATACAGCATTCAATACATTATTTTTACTAACCATTTTGTTTTATGATTAATATTAAATTGTATAGCTTCAAATAAACTTGTTTTATTTATTTAATCATAGTCCCTATTTGTAATTATGTTGGATTGTTATGTTTCAGTTAAAAGCGATTGTAATACATCCAATCCTGAAGATCAATGGACTATTAATTTAAATGGTAAAAGCTATGTTAGCATATTGCATGAATACATTCAACGTGTACTCAAAACACAGCCATCATATGAGTTTAAAGAACTTGGTTAGTTAAAATACTAAACGATAAAAGTTACTAAATTCAATTATTAATGGTTTATTGTTATATTTCAAGAAAATGCCAGGTATCCTTACTTAGCAACAGTAATCCTAGATGGCATGCAATATGGTATTGGTATTGGTTCAAGCAAAAAACAAGCTAAACTTGATGCTGCTAGAGCTACACTGGAAATATTATTACCGTCTGTCAAAGATCATATCCAAATTAACCGTAGGCATGCAATGAATGAACGTCAAGGTTGTAGTAATTTTGATGGTGATGTAGTAAGTACCTTCATATGATCTTCTATCTAGAATTTGTAATTTATTTAATATCTAGTTTATAAGTTATTTCATACAACATAACTGTATTTTAGCTTTTTGATAAACTAAACATTAAAGACTCTAGAATACCAGAATTCTGTGCTCAAGCTGCTGAATCTATGCCATATGATATGTTGCAGATTTGTGTAAAAAGGTAATTAAATATAGTTTGATTATTTAGGCTTTTTGGTATTTATTTGGATTTAAATTATAGAAATTTTGGCGAAGATGCATGTGTAATGTGTGAAATGCAAAGTATGCAAAGTGGAACTGACTCTGAAATTTTTTACCGTTGCACCATGACTGTTAAGGAACATTCTGCCACTGTTATTTGTAAAAATAAACGTGAAGGACGGCAAAAAGGAGCTCAAGCCCTACTTAAGGTTTACTTATAAGAATATTAAAAAGTTTTGTATATACTAAATTTTTTTTATACATTCATAGGTGTTACACCCTCATATTAAGTATTTTGGATCTTTATTAAGGCTGTACAGCCATCAAAATGTTGGAAGTGGCTGTGAGAAAAAACTAGATGAACCTGGAAATCAAAGCCCAAGGCCTAGGAGTGGTCCAAATTATGAAATACTGAAAAAATTGAGAGCAGAAATGTCCAAACTATAATTGTATAATTGAAAAAAAAAATTATCTAATGTTTTTGTGTGCTGAAAAGTAATTTCAGTGTAGAAAAAATTGTATTATTTAATAACCCAAGGCATCTAAATCAATATATACAATTGTGCACATTTAGATTTTAATTTTAAGATACTATTTTGATACTTGATAAATTCTGTATGTCAATCAAATTAATGTTGTAATTAATATTGCTTCTTTAGTATTAGATCTTTACTAGTGATGTATTCAGGGGCTGCTTGTCGGGGGTGAATTTAAAACTGCATCTCCCCTTAAAAAAAACTAGCTATTTATAATAATTACTTTAAAATAAATATATATTTGTATCTGAATTGAAAATATATTATATCGCTTTCTTTGTTTATTAATTTATTATTATTGTATGCCACAAAATATAAAACCTGCCTAGATATTTTGATAGAAACATTATTTTACTAATTTATACAACAGTTGTAGATTTAGTGAAACTGCCATCCAACTGTTTCAATTGTAACCATGTGATGTTATCGTCAGATTGACAGAGGAGTCAAGGAGAGTAAACTGCGTACTATAGGCACTATTGATACTTGGTTCACAACAATAAAAATATGCCGTACAATTTATTGTAGAAGCTAATTGGTCTCCCCAAAATATGGGTAAATTTAAACAATTACAGGCTGCATAGGAAAACCAGTTCTTCCAATATGCCATAATTACCATACTGAGCAAAGGGACCTATCGTACGTTATCATTTTAAAATTACATTAGTATAGGTATCAATAAGTATAATCTATGAATTTAGTGTATTAATTTTCTTTCAAATTTATTATTACTATAAAACTACATAAATTCAACAAATTGCTTAATTACTTGACTGAAAAACATTTTCACAACTGAATAAATTTTGTACTCAGCTACAAAAGTAATCAACATTACACTGTATTTCACTATTAAATTTGAAAAAAATAAATAGCTGTCCTGAAACCATTTACATTTTCAATAAGATATTAATCAAAGGAAGGATTAGAGATTTTCAAATACTATTTTGAGTACACTGGAGACATAGATTACACAACTAAGCTCTAACAAATAAATTCTCAAGTTGTTTTTAAAAAATATTACTTGCTCAATTTTAAAATACAATAAAAGAGCATTGTAGCCTAGAATTAAAATGTTTTGCCAAGATTGAAAACAAAATAATTTTATAAGTTCAGTTCGCTTAGATATTGTGGAGTGATCCCGAGTATAGACAAAAATATATGTTTGGTGTAAATTAAATCAATAAAACTATGATAGTAATGTAAGTAATATAATAAACCTAAAACCTGTTAAAACATTTAAAACTATAATTTACGACTAACAGTGATAATATTAATGACCAGGGTTTGGGACTTAAAGCATTTGCTTATTTTTATGGATTGACTTAAAATGTAACAGATCGCTATGGGAGTGTATGTCGTGTTATAGCAGTACAACAATTATGAAATTTGAAAATGCTTTTTTTTGCTTATTTCAGCATTTTGTTTAAAAAAATGCTAATTTCTAGTTTATACGATTATTTTTGCTTTTTCGATCAGTTTTTCTTTTGCAGTTGTTTTTGATAGAATTAAAATTAAAAATAATTCTTATCTACGTTGCTGCGTATTTAATTAATTAATTTTTTTCAATTATTTGTAAATAATGTTTACATTTTATTTTTCAGAAAATCCATAAAATCCTTAAAATCTTGAAAGTGAAGTTTAATTTTTTTTTGTAATATAAAGATGGATTTATTTATTTATTTTTTAGTTTTTATTTTTAAATAAATATTTTTGCTTTAATTTAAGTTTTTTAAATGTTTATTTGAGTGCTTATAATGATGTTTTTTAACGCATTTTTAAGTGCTTATTTGAATGATTTTAAGTTGCTATAATTCCCGAGCCCTGCTAATGACTAATAGCATACATTTGATGTTGTATAGAAACAAAATGTTTAGTTATTTACATCCATACATTTTTTTTTTTTTAATTAAGAAAATAAAGAATATATACTATGCTAGTAAAGCATAGTAAGTAAATACAATGAGAAAATATACAGTTGAGACATGAATTTTATGAGGGAAGCTATCCATTGATAGAACCTAACAATTAATTTACATATTGACAAATGTCATATTATGTAAGCCAAAGAAAATGTTGTTAATGTTTTTATTACACCCTTTATAGCTGATTCATTACAAAATATTAAGTGAGAACTATAATTATAGAGAACCAAGTTTAAACATAAGATTTATATTTATTGTTAAACTTTATTTTAATAATATTTCAGTAATGCCAAGTGTCCGTCAAACAAAGGTATGTGATATTTGTAAATTATATTCTATTTTGTTCTCTTTTATGAATGTAATGTAGGGAATAAAAACAATTCCATTGTAAGAACAAGGTAAGGAACAATAAACTTCCTTTGTTCAATTATTCACTTCCTAACCACTTCATGTATGATACTGATTAATCTTGGTTGCTCTGGTATCTCTGATAATTGACATAATTAATACAATTTCATAACCTAAATATATATATTTTATCAAAAAGTATCATACAACAAATATATATACATCACAACTTAATTAAATGCTATATTTATAACACTCAAATTTCAGTTCATAATAAATATTAATACGTTTATTTTTTTATACTTGAAAGGATTACATTCTGATTGTTTACATTTCATTTTCAGAAATCAAAATCTGTCAATCTTAGTTCACCATACCATTTTTGTAACATAAAATATAATATTACACTAATAATATTTATTTATGTTGGTAACATTAATTGGCTTACAAAATATTGTTTAATATTACATTTTCATGAAATGTTATATCCAAATATAGGTTACACAATAAAACATATTATAATACAAATAAAATTATTTAAACATAATAAACGAATACCTATTTCTTGGTATCTACCTATAATTCTGGCACAGATTTCAATTCATGGCTATAATTTGATGACGTTTTCATTGCTAAAGTTATACCACTCTTGTAGTTGGCTGGTATTTCAATATGATCAGTGAATTTGACATTTTCTTTTTCTTCACGTAGAAGATTTACCACTTGTCCTAAAATAATAGTTATTGAGTTTTTTTTGATGACTAAAAAGTGGAATTTGTCAAAGTGTATATACCTAAGACATTGAACCTATGCCAATGTCGGTTAGGATGTGTGGCCAAGGACATGAGATCTGTTTGAGGGGTCCACCTGGACAATATATCAGCTCTTTTAATCATCAATGAAGATGGTGAAATTAACTGTGGTAGTAATGACTCCATGCATGAAATGCTCATTGGATTTGTTAAGTAAATTTGAGCAAATTCTGGACATAAGGGATTGTATGATACACCATACACCATTTGATGGTGCCAACTATCTGGCATAAGAGAAGGTGAAACATCTACACGTTGCAGATTTAATGTCAATATGGGAACAGCACCTATAATAATATAAAATTACACAGCATAGTTAAAGTTGGCATTTTTTTAGGTTTATATAGCTACCTTTTTTTATCCAAGTGGCAAGCCAAGGGGCAAGAGGTACATCCAAATACTGATGAGTAGCAAAGAACCTGGCACTGACTTGTGAATCCGTTACGGTTTCTAATGTTCTAACCAAATCTTGGGGCATGCAACCAGCCACAGCTCGAGACTCCAAATAGGGAACAAGCGGAGCAGTTTCATCACGTAAGCGAGTGCCAATAGTTTGAATTATACGGTCTAAATTGAATTGTGTCCTTAGAGCCAACTAAAATATATATACAATAAAATAATTTATGCAAGTGATACAATGAGTAGTAACTAATAATTAAAATGCCATGTTATAAATCTATAGTGTATTTATTAGTGAATAGTTTAACATATAGGCTCACATTTAATTTCAATAAGTACAAAACTAAGGTTTATTTCACACTGAGAATTATTAAACTTATTAATTAATGAACTTGTAAAAAACCAATATAAACAAATTAATTTAAGTTATTAATTAATAAAATGTCTTCCCGTTCCCAGTCACAAAACATCCAACATCATATTAAAAAAAATTGATCCAAAGATCTGTTATTTTAAAAGTTAAAAGTCTAGTTAAACTGGTAAGCTAGTTTTAGGCACGGAGAGCAAGGATGAGAGGAATCTAATCCCCCCTTGTTATCAATTAATAAACTTGTTACCTAGTTTATATTTTCAATACATACAAATAATAAGAGCTAATAATATTGTATTAACAAAAAATGATGGTATGCCATATTATTTAATGTACATTATATACCAATCATAAGCTATTGAAATTAAAAAACTTACTAAAGTATTTATAACTGCAGTTGCTCCACATGCTGATACACCAATTTGGTTTATTTGAAGCTGAGCTGCCTCTTTTTCTGACCATACCATTTCTTTAATCCAAGTTAAATCATCAACACGCATTCTTTTCATTTTTTGGCATACCTCCTGATGAAAAATATTTAATATTGATAAAATAATCAAGATTTGAACTAAGTCCTACACATTTTATTTTACCGTTGTATCAGAATTACGTCGCATACATCCATTACGCTCTTCCTTACAAACAGGGACATTAGTATTAAGAGTCTTGAAATGTAGAATGGGTACATCTAGATTTGGATTGTTAATAGGTTCACGTATTACACTATTTCTAACATTAAGATGGCTTTCTCGTAGAGTAGGATTTACAGCAGCTATTAGGTCTTTTATTAACAGGACTGTACCACTGTTGAACAAAAAAAAAAATTACTATACATTTTTTAATTAACTTTCAATTTAATATAAAGCCAATTAAATAAGCATTTGACATTTAACATAAAAAACTTTTAAAATTAATACATACTTTGCACTATTAGCCATTGGTTCAGTAATCTCTTCGTCTTCAGATACATTATTAACCGTTGGTTCAGGTTCAAAGTCCATTTCTAAGTAATCCATCAAAGGTGATGTACTTCTATCATCCATGGGTAAGTTTTCAACTGCCGGCTCTTGCCTATCACCACGATAAGTGTAAATACAAGAATCGTTGTCTGAATCACTATCTTCCTGGTCACAACGTACTAAACTAGCAGCTATCATGTGGTCGTGTTGTTCGGGGGTATCACAATCCAGACAACTTTCAGTATCGGGATCGTCATAGTTGTGTGCTACGTTGTTATTTAATCTAGAATAAAACCATAAGGCATTTTTAAATGGAAACTGAATAATATGAAATTCAGCATTTAGTTACCTGGATGATTCTTTCTGATCAGATAGCACCCCTCTGCTTGTGCCAGGTCGGTGCAGCTCGTCATCATCGTTGTTCATGTCTCTTATCAAGCGTATCTATGCCTTATGGCACGTCTGGCTTGGCCTGAACAACGGAGGACAGCGAAATAGACATTATGAGACAACAATACTCTCAAACAATACTTGCGATCATCATAACCTACAGTCACAGGCGTTTTTAAATTACGTTTTGTCCAGTACTTCTAATGACAACTACCCGAGTCTCAGACAACTCAATACTCACTGACCATCGACGGCACGTAAGCGAAGTGCAATAGTGAATAATGTGTAGAATTGTATAAAACATTAAAGCGTTATGATTGTAAAAAAAGATATTTCAATTTTTAATATTTTATTATATCTCATAGTCATAAACATTAAATAATAATAACAATCTTATGGGGATTTTGATAACGACGACGTAGATATCTATAATAGCCTGCAGCGGTCCGCAATCAGCTGCAACAAGCAGCCGCGGCGCATAAAATAATAAATATCAAATATTTTTTTACAGGACAAAATATTATGGTAAACGTAAAGTCTAGTATTCTTTGTGCCATGATAAAATATCGGTGTTAATAATTTTGACGCGCCTTCTATCTACGCCAAATCAGATCGTGTTTGGTATCTTACTATCTTTAGGGGTGAAGTACTGAAGTCTGTGCAGTGTATAATGTATATAGTCTAAATATTTTTATCAACATTTAAATAAAATCTGTCCTTAATCTTAGACATGATCAATAATTGCGGTCTCAAATCATGTCAATATAATATTATATTATTTTAACTTGTTACATTAACAAGTAATAACTTTCTAGGATCAAATAAACAAAATTGGAGTAATGACTAAAATACTAATTAGATAAATGACGTCCTACCCTTACAGACATAAGACAAGATTAGTACTTATAACTACTGGCTACTACCATTGATTTTATAATATATATATATAGTAACGCGAGTACCAAGTACCGACAGGCAAGTATGCAGTAAAATAGTGAATTATACGTTATAATATATTGTTCTGTGGTTATACGGAGAAATATATGAAATATATTATAAATTATTTATGGTATTAACTGTGCTTCCTATAATCGTACCCACATTGTATTATATATCTGTGATAGTGTGATCATATCATACTTATTCATACACCTCTTTAAAGTTTAAGTACTAACTGACTAGACAACACGTTCTTGACTACTGGTAGTCAATAGTCATGAACTAAGACCAAATACTGTAAATGATTAATCATTTACAGTATTTGCTAAGACTTAAGAGTAAGATATTAGATATCTAAGACCATGCTGGTGCCTGGTAGTCATGGTCCTACAAAAGTAGGCTGATAATAATATTATAGACGCAGTGCCGGCGGACATGTGTGTACGAAATTCCCCAGATCAACTCACCATGGTTGGCGGCGCTGCGGGCTGTCACGACCCATTCGAGTAGGAGACCCGCTAAAAACGGACGAGAATTGAATTTTCCGGTTCACATCACGCGCTCGGCCCGCCGATACGTTCGAGTTCATCACCGTTCCCCGGCCGCTGACTTTGAAGTCTGCACAGTCTCGCTAGTCGCTGGCCTCAGTCTCACGCCGCACGCGTTTTCCGGCCGTCGCACGTTTCCTCCCGCGTTGATTATGATATTTTTCCAGTGCACCGACAATTGGTTCGTCAGCTTCCTGTGCTTGTGCGGTTGTCTGCAGTGACAATATTCGTCAATAATAATATAATAATATATCGATATCATCGTATTAACTCTACACGGGCACAGTCGACTGGCTTGCGACGCTCGAAACTAACGAGCAGTTGATAATATATTTTTCCGCGGAGCTTTATGTCCTGTTGCAGCTGACAGACCGTGGATTATACCTACAACAGGTGAGTTTTCGTAAAGTTCTCTATACAACATTTATATAATATATATATTATATACCTATATATACAGTAAATTATATGCTTCAGTTATGGTGGATATATATATTAAGTTTTAATTAAAACAATAAATTACTACATTTCATTTACAATAAATCTAAATTATTTTTTTTTAAGTCATCTATAATACAACGTTATATGAATATATTATTATATTTTTATGAACTCGAAATTAGAAATTTTATGAATCATAAAAAAAGAAATTGTAATTTTTTGGATATACGTAATATTATCTACATTATACCCCATCGTATTTTTTCCAAATTCCAGCTGTCCCAATTAAAACTATTAATGAATTAACTGAACCTTTGAGGGTAGCAGTAAATTATTAACTAAACTAAATTAGTGATTTGACCATTAGAAATTTCATGCAGGAAAATAAGAACTACCAGAAACCATTTAAAAAAAGCTGTAAACTTTTATAAAAAGAACTGGTGGATCAGGATTCCTATTAGTAGAACGCTACATCTGTATGGTTATGAAATTTTAAATTGTAAGGAAAAATAAAGTATCTTTTTTCAATTTTACTTTGATACATAATTATTATAAACAAACGACCTATATTTGTGCAACGAGAATACACGAGATACACTCAGAACTCAGCATATATGTAATCTCTTTTCGTTTTAGTATACATATCGATATCAAATCTTTCGTGAATAAGATTTCGTCAAAAAATATATTCGTTTTATATTTGTAGCAAGAACGAAGGATATCTGTTTAAAAAATTTTAAATTTAAACCGTTCACTGTCGAGTGAGCACTACCATTTTTAGTTTCATTCAGTATAGCTTATAATTTATAAATGTACAATATTGTTTGATGTATGGGCGTATATTATATATTATTTTTCATTCATAATAATATATAGGTGCCTCTATGGAATAGGTTGTTACTGGTAAAATATAAACTGGTTTAAGTAGGTATATCCAATATTGTTTAAATGTGTATTGCAGGATATTACCTATACATGTATACATATTGTAAACCTAGGCTCATTGCTACGTCTCTAATGTCTATCGAGTCAAACCCATAAATTGAACTCGGCTTAACTCTTGAAATTTCTAGGTAGAACATGGTTATTGGTTAGTGAATAATACCATGATTAAAACGACGAATTAGAATAAAACTAAAAATCACATCGCACGATAGATGACGTAGCTGTGAATCTGACTTTATTGTTTGTAAATGTTTATATATTTTTCATATATAATTAATATTGTTATATATATTTATTATTTATATACCTACTACCTTAATAATATTCAAAACTAACAATAGGTACCATTTTTTTTAGAGTAAATTAAAGGTGGATTTTAGTTACGGTCCACATTATACAATATGTAAAAAACGATTGGTATATTACAAATATTATAAACTAAATAAGCTATAGATGTATTATTCGATAATAAGACAAAAATGTATGGTTGGTTTTATGTTTGATAATAAATAATTGTTTAAAAAAATGAAAATACCTTGAGTGATTTAAATGTTTAAGCTTATAATATACATAATTATATTATATCTACTATATTTGTTATTATTTACATGATTTTTCAACCTAAACAACTAACCTTAACCTAAAAAACACAAAGAAAAAATCTTATTATAAAAGGTGTTCCTGTAAAATTATAATTCATCTGAGATTATTTTTTAAACATAGATAATTTTAACATGTTATCATTTCAATCATTTAATTAATTACTACAAAATGAGAATAGTTTAAAAGTAATGAATAACCATTAAAGTAACCAGTGCTAATATAATTTGTGGTCGAAAATCGAAATATACAATCAATACAGTTTTCCTTCGAGTTTTCAGTACTCATATTAATTTCAAAAAAGTCTTTAAATGTATATAGTGCATGAGCATTTTTAATTATTTTTTTTAACAATTATTCTAGACAAAACTGAAAACTTCAATTCTGAGTTCTATGTGACATTAAATAACTTAATATATATTATCTACTTTATAAATTAAAAGAAATATTAAGAGTCGTTACATTTAATGCAAAGAACTTTCCTTAAACAACTAAAAAATAACATCGGACCTCAATATACCAAACTGTATTTGCCATAATATGATGTAATTTAATTAAAAACGAAAAACGTATAAATCTAATTTTTTATTATAATTAATAGGTATAGTTTGCTTATTATAATCAATGATATATTAGTTATGAATATTCGAATATCTCAAAAAAAAAAAAATATTATTTGAATACAACATTAATAATTTAAATATATGAAAAATAAGGCACAAATTTATAAAAAAAACATGTATCTAGTTTAATATAGTTACTATTTAACGTTCTGGAAATAAAATTGTAAATTTGACATGCCCTGTAAACTATAATATTTATATTATATATTATACGGCTATACACATATAAGTTAATATGATAATAGTGTCCATACATTGAACCAGGATATAATAAACATGAGCTGTTGTGACCCACAGACCGTGAATGGTCAGCGTTTCCACTTGGTTGGGTTCATCTGCTCAGTATATATACGCTCAGAAAAACGTTAATGATTTTCCACTTAGAGCACCCACGTATATGTTCAAAAAAGAAAACTAAACCGGGTTACTGTTACGTCGGAACAACGTATGCCAATTTAGGCACCTGCATATTTTCAATAAACTTTTATTATTAATTTACCTGTGCCATGGTTAGATGGAGTGTAATTAATAAATTGCGGTATGTTTCCGAAACAGCTATTTCTAACGTTCAGTTGTTCAGTATATTTTTTTCTTAATCTCAAGAGGTAATTAAAAATAGATTCCGTTAGATCAATTCGTCACATCTATAAAATTGGATAGGTGACATCGCGTATAATGTAACATATCTCATTTTTAAACAATGACTAGCGTATTATATAAATTAAAAATTAAAAATAAGAAATTATTTTTAAAAACTTATGAACTATGTTATTTTTAAAATACTTGTAGATTTTTTTGCATACGTTTTACAGTTAAAATATAAAATGTCTTCTATATAGTATGTATGATGTTGTCATGATTAATTTTGGATTCTGATTTAATAATTCGCTGTTACGTCTTAACTTCTACTTTTTTACCTAAATCGACAATGCAAATTTTAAAATATTTAGGTGATATTTTTCTTCTTATTACCTAAAAAAAACTTTATTTACAATCTATACAAGAAGCATAATATGTACTTAAATGTAAATAAATGGTGATACACCATACACTGATAGATACTGTTGGTTTGATAGGCTTAAGTGAGGAAACCGTTAATCTATCTCAACACCTTCTATTATTCCGTCAAGTTTTGCTTTTTGAGTGGCTCATTGCCATTTTCTTTAAAGTTTCTGGTGGATTGATATGGATACTGATTAGAGGGATGGGCTCAAAATGGAATTTTGTGTAATGCTAAGTTGCTAATTTGTTAATTCAAGATATTTCAATATTTGTAAATCCTAGTGCACTATACATACCTATTATACTGCTATACCACGTGACTCCAGTTATTTATCATAAGACATATTGACAGGAATTTGTGTAAAGATCTGATATTGGCTTGACACCAAATTTAAATACCGTAATACCAAAGACGGGTTATGAATTATGATTGTTTCATATATTCAAATATCATATTTCAATATTTTAAGTTCGTCGAATGGGGCAGTGGACGGAGGAGATGTAGCGTATGTTAGATTGTTTTTTGTGTGTGTATTCTTAAGAGTATTCATATTTTATAGTTATATTTTGATATGCAAGTATATATAGGTACTATGTATCCAGCTAAAATGCAAGTACATTTCACGAGTGCGAAAACAATTACATTATGCTCGATCAAGCATCCTCCCAGAGATGGCATGAAATTTGGACATTCCAATTTATATTTATTTTTTTGCTATGTAATTTGGATGCACCGAAAAAATACTGTTTACAATAAAAAATTATAAAGTATGAATCCATAGAAATATATGCATATTATATATACTGAACGACCCTCGCACCATTTCTCAGAATCATTTTTCGTATATTATCATAATATTATCATTCAATTCGATAGTTAAACACATCCGTTTCAGTGACTTACCAGTTATAATCGGTAGTCGGTACCTACTCTCGAAATATATTATATAATATATAAACGGAACTTCTTTGGTGTTAATGTTTTTTTACACCATTGGTGTAGGTCACACTCAGTCATTAAATAAAAATTTTTATTTATATTTTTACTTATAATCAACGGGTAAAATTCATATTTATCTACAGATGACCTTAAAAAAAATTCAAAACAATCGTGTTTAATATAATGTTCTTCACCTATATATTACCTACAGGTGCTTACAAATTACAATAAGTGTATTCAAAATAAAAAAATAATAGTACAATGTAATAAAAATATCTATTCTTGTTATTATTTACCCAATATGTATGTATAAATATAAGAACTAATAACTAATAAACTATAACCTTCAAATTTGATTATTGGAAAAAAAGAAAAAATAATATCAACTTTTACAGAAAATTATAAAAATTAAAAACTAAGTTTTTGTTTCACTATAAAATACAAATATGTGATGTAGGTTGATAATTAACTTAGTTTGGTTATCTTTGATTTTTATATATTTCATGTATGAAGTATGAATAAATGACAAAAAAATTAAAAATTAAAAGTTGATATCAAAATATTATTTTACGATCTTATAGTATTATAATAATATGTATAGGTTGTTAATAAGTATTTTTTATAAATGGTGATTATAGCAAAATATATTTATTAAATTTTTTGACGATTCAACTTCATAACAATACATTTTATGTTAAATATTTAAATTAATATAAGTTAATTAAATATACATAATAATATACTATAAACTATTATTATAGTATAGATATAATATAATAATTTTCAGTTTTTACAATGTACAATCACAATGACACAATCCTTATTAATTTAATATCATTTAT